TAGGAGCAGATAGATGAGTCTTATCATTTCAGTCCATTCAGCCTCACCTCACTGTGTTTTTTTGACTGGAGAATTTAGACTTTTTACTTTCAGGGTAATTATTGATAGGTAAGGACTCATTACTGCCATGCCTTTGTTTGCAAGTTGCTTATTGTCTTCCATTATGATTAAATAGTTTTCTCTAAATAGTCTTTCATCACTTACTTAAAAAAAAGATTATCTATTATAGATTTTGCTTGTGGTTACACTGAGTATCAGTGATGTTAATTCATTTTGATGTACAATGTCCCTTTTGTTTTTCTTCACTTTGTGTCTACACAGAATGTCATTAATAGGTCTGACTTTTTGTTAACATTTTATTATGTTCTCAGCCCTGGTTTTCTTTTCATCAGAGTTTCAAGGAAAATTTGTACCTTTCTGAAATTGACTTAGGCTCAATGTATTCAGATATGATCGCAAATGAAAGTTGTGTAAGTCTTGATTATTCAAGGATATAGAATCAGTACAAAGTTATTGTTGCTTGAAGATGAAGAGATGTATTTTATGGAGTGAACATATAGAGATATTGTAGCTGGCCAGTGTGTCATTTGCTTGCCTTTTAATGAGCTTTGCGTTAATGTAGCAAATACCTGAGAGAATCCTTCTGCACATTGAAAAGATACACCTCTCGTGGTTTTTGATGCTTACGTACATGGCTGATTGTTTCCATTAGTTTGAATTTCGGCAGCGTATCACAGTAAGAGTAGGTGATGGAGCAGTGCTGTTTACCTCCTGACTGAGAAGTAAGAACAACTGAAAGGGAAAGGGTCTTTGGCTCTTCCAGTGGCACATCTGCAGTTCTTGGAAGACATCATAATAGTCCCTATGTCTTTCAGTGGTGCCAAGCCTGGACATGCCTCTAGCATAGGGGGCTGAGGGTGATACTTCTTTTGAAATGGTAACATTCCTTTTCCTTTCTCCAAAGATTCATGTTCATCTCACAATATGAAATGCATGCAGATCACCTCTCAGAATCCCCAGAGTTGTAACTGTTCCAGAATTCTTAGAAATTAAGTTCAGAATCCCCTCAGAGACAAAAAGGAGACTCATCTATGTGACCCTCTTGGGCCTTGCTCATCTGAAGTCCCAGCAGCCTCTCTCTTAGGTAACTCTCCTGCTACCTGCTGCTCTCTTGGCAGGTTTTCCACATTGCTGTTATCTTTTAACTTCCTGGGATCTCCATCAAAGGTATGGCTCCACTTTCACATCTTCATTAATCTCCCTGCCAGCAGGGTGCTTTCACAGACTGCAGTCCTGCTCCCCTTGCCTTTCCATTGAAATCTCAGTAGAAACTTCCACGACCCTCTGCATGTCTTACAAATGTATACATGGGTCATGTTGACACCAAGGGTCGTACTTACGGTCTTACCTATACCTATACCTAAGCCTGCTGGAGCCAACACTATAGTGCCCTTTTTTTTTGAGTGTTGTGGCAGCTGAGACAAATCCAGAGAATACGTAGGTATTTTTAGAAATGCAGAGCATCCTCAAGCTCACTTTTCAAAACACTCTGTCCAGGAAAGCCTTTGAAACCTGTATGTTTTCTCTATCTCTGAGCTTGTGATGGCTGTGACTCTGCGATTCCTGATGTTCCCTCTGGTGATTTTTTCCTATGTCTTTGTGTAAAGGGCATGGCACACTCCTCGTTATTCTGCTCCCTCTTCCCTGCTTCTCGTCCCTGTCCCTCTCCTCCTTATTCTCCCTCCTCCTGTTTCTTCTTCAGGAGGTACTGGGGATTGAAACCAGGACCTTCACGTTGAGCTCTGTCCTCAGCCCTTTTGGAGACAGGGTGTTGCTAAATTGTCCACATGGGATCAATCTGGGAATCTTTCTGCCTCGGCCTGCCAGAGTGCTGGGATTACAGGTGTGTGCCACCACATCCATTCTGCTTCCTTTTAATGGCATTAATACCTTTAGCAGTTGCATATGCCTAAGCTGGGCTGTGCCTTTACATGAACTTTCCTGCCCAAACTGCAAGATTTCCAATCATTTTTGCTCCATTTTTGTTCCCTATTCTCCATGTAAACCTGGCTAAACGTAGCCTGTAATATCCGTGCCACTGCTGGGATGCTGTGCTCCCTGGAAATTTCTTCCACCACATAAACTAGTCCCTCACTTTTAAACTCTGTTGTCACAGAAATCACACATGCATGTGTACGCGCGCATGCACACACACACACACACACACACACACACACACACACTATTTAGGCTTAGTCCTCAAATACTGTCAGGAACCATGTTTTATAAAGTGTGCTTTTTAAAATTCTGATAGTAGTATTTACTGAGCATCACATAAATGCTGTGTGTGTCATATTCAGAGGTCCACACATTAAATAAGAAGTCCGTCTAATCTCTTTTAGTTAGCATAAGAAAATAGACATGGAGCAGATAATTAGCCCTATTCTTTAGATGCTGAGTAAAAGTATGTCATAGAGAAACGTATCTGAGACTGAACAGATGAGTTATGTTACGAATAGGAAGGTAAATGAAGGCTGATGTTGTTAAGAGTGGGATATTTAATTTAATACCTGATTGAGGTCCATTTAGCTGCCTGAAGAAGCTGGGATGTGGTGGCACAAATTTGCAATCCCCTAGTTTGGGAGGTTGAGGCAGAGGATCTTCTTCAGTTTGAGTTCAGCTTCTGCCACATAGTACTTTGAAGGGCAGCTTGAATTTCAAAATTAGATTCGTTTGTGTAGAGGGAAAAAAATCATACAGAAAAAGCAGCGCAGCAAGTCGCAGTGCTTGTGGTTCAGTGCTACTAGCACCTGTCTCAAAGACAAGAATGTTCTTAATCTTTTTATTACCCCCTTTCCATGATGTCTTTGAATTTTTTCCTAGGTTGTTTTTTAAAGAGTTATATGTAATTATGAGTATCTTGGTAATAATCTTTGTGGATGTATGTTTTTTTCCTGTGTGTGTGAGTGGAGTTCCTATGTAAATTGGTAAATTGTTGGTTTAATTTGTAAAGCAGTTTTCTATGCTAAAAACTTTTGTGACTCTAACCACTTTACTCCATTTTAAAAGATGAACCATCTGAATTCTTCCTAGCAGTGTTTGAAGTGATGTTACATGTTTTTTTGTCATCTCATTTCTTTTTTATCCCATGTGTGTGGAAAATAAGGTTGACATTCTTTGTGAGGAGTGGTACATGTTTTAACACCTCTTGATGTCTTCTGTGTTCCCTTTTACTTTCTCTTCTTTACCCCTCCACCCATCTATTAATGCATTTCCCTTTTTTGGGAAACCCTTTGCAGTATGTATCATTCACATTAACTGGCTGGATTCAGTAGATGTATAAAACCTATCTTAAGTCCTTTTTTAAAATCCCCATGTTCTATTTCCCTGCTCTTTCTTGATTCCATTTCCCTTTGAGAAAGATTTATCTCTTTACTTTGTATTATGTTGCTCTGTTTTTACTTTGAATTTCTCATATAAGAAAAACTGCAATATTGTCAGATTTACTTCATGTAATATTGTGTTTTTAACAATCACTATTTTATGCCTTTTTTCTAGTTCAGTGAGCATTCTGTGAATCAGTGTTATTGTTTCTCTTATAGTTATTATTTTTTGATGTCCTGTCCTCACTTCTTAAGAGCATAACTGACTGCTGTGATCTTCAGACCTTTTTGCCCACAACATACATGTTTAACTCTGCAAAGAATCTTTTCATTGTTTGTTTGAATATCATAACTTTGTTATGACATATTTTCATTTTCATCAAATGCAAGATATTTTCCATTTCCTTTTCTTTTTAAATTTGATCCTTGAAATGTTTTAAAGCTTCAATTTATTTGGCAACTACATGTGTATTAGACTTTGTTGTTTGATCATTTATGGAAAATTCATTTGTTTAGGGAACAGACAGCATGTAATGTAATTTCTTTTAAAGTTTTGAGAGGTATTTTTTTTCTCATTTCCTGAGCTGTAATTGATATTGCTCCATTAGAATGTGAAAAAAAATTTTCAATTCTTGTAAAGTGCAGTTTTCTATATAAGTTAATTGATTGATGTCACATGTTCAGTTTTGGTTGTGTGGAAGGTGATTAGATCATCGGGGGTGCTTTTTTCATCAGTTGATGAATCCAGTTTTTAGCTGAGTGTGTAGGTAGGCATTAGGACACTTTGGTTGTGAATAGGAAGGGTATAATGTCCTCTGCTCCTCCTGTCCCTGTCTGCTTGCTTGCTTCCAGGAATTGATCCCCTTTCCTTTCCATCACGTACTTCTTTAAGCCATGACCTCTGAGCCAAGAAACCTTTTACATTAACAGCTGTCAGGTTTTTGTCTCAGCAATGGGAAAGTAACTAATAAAACAGAGTTGTAGCTCTCTTCTATTCTTCCTTATTTTTTTTTTTAACTATATGTTGTATCAAGTATTGAATGTAGTCAATTAAAATCTTTAGTATTTTTGAAGTATATAATTCTTTCAAATCTGTAAGATTGTATACTTTGGTATCTGGTATTTGGTACACATTTATTAGTTGTAATATCTTCCTAATGTAGTGACTTTTTCCAGTGTAGCATTTCCTGTTTTTCTTCAGTATGTGTTTTGTTTAATACATTATTTGGCCCTAATATTAGCTTCACAACTCTGTGGCTATTATTCATTGCATTGTATTTTAAATTCTTCCACTGTAAATGTTATTGTGTATTTAAAGATAGTGCTTAACTTGCATGTAGTCTTATGCTGAGTAATGATGTTTTAACAAACTGTGAATTCTGCATATAATGCAGGTTACATGAAATTATATCAGCCAACCTATAAGTAATTTTTGACCTGAGATGATGTTTGCTAGTGAAGGTGTAGTCATGTTGTTATGGCAGTACATTCTACACTGCTCCCACAACAGTATTACTTAAGGATCTATTTCTTAGACATATCTATGCTCTCTATTATGCATGTTATTACTGTGATTAGAACTTGGTGTTTTGTTTTTTTCCCTAGCTTGAAAAATCTCTGTCCTTTCTTAGAGTATCTCTTTGTATGTAATTTTAAGAGGATTGGTTTTCTTTTTGCTGCCCTACTCATCGTTCTCTTTCCATTACTTGTCTTGTAATGTTATTGTTGTTTTCTTGCTTTTTCCTAGTGTTTGTTATTAAATAAATCTTTTGTATATAGCTATTTGAAACCTTTTGATAAAATATAAAAGAATCATTTGGATCTATTTTCTCTTTATGATTTTTTGCTGTGTGTATTACTACATCGAAAGTTATAAAAGCACAATATTTTTGTGTTATAATTAGTATAAATAGTCTTGTATATACAGTTTTTTACACTGACTATTTTATGTGAAGCTAAGTTACTCTTTGTTGTAAATGATTTCTGTTACTATTTTGTGGCTATATTTGCCAATAGGTGTTTTTTGGGGGGAATGTGTTTATTTTTTAGTTTTTTTGCATATTCTTTTATTTGACATAGATGTCTCATTGGGCATTTTATCTACTTTATTGAGTTTGTCAGTTCTAATAAGTAGCTATTTGTTTTTATGAGCAGTGTGAGTGAGTCACTTTTCAAAATCATGATTAGCATTTTCTTCCCTTTGGGTTTTCTGTCTTCAGCATTTAGCAGTTTGATTAGTTCCTTTTGTGATTATTTTATTTAAGTTGCAGTGAATTTTTGATGAGCATAGAGGCACACTTCTGTAGTTCCCAGCACTTGTAGGGCTGTGGCAGAATTGTTAAGAGTTTGACACCAACATGGGGTACATAATGAATTCAAGGACAATGTAAATGTCATAGTGAGAGTCTTTCTCAAAAAACTTAAAAAGCTTGAATGCCTTTCTTAGATATATATCAAAGCTTTTCATTATTTTGGGCCTTGTTCACTCTGATAAAATTTGGGTATATCTTTTTGTACATTCAGTCATTTTTGGTTGAAAATTAGTCATTTTCTATTTTCTCTGAACATTTTTTAAAACACACTTTCAAAATAACTTACTTAAAATCTCCCTGGTGTACGCAATATCTATATCTTTGTTTTATTCTTAATTTTAGTTTTAGCTGGGTTCCTTAGAATTCTTTTTTGTCCATAATAATTCAGTGGTTTGCCAATCGATGAGCCAATTTTGTTTCTCAGAGATCAATAGTTCCCTGTAATATAACTTATTGGATTTTTTTGTGAGTTGAGCAACACAGTCAGAATTGCAGTTTTAACTTTTTCACCTGTTGGATTATTTTCTTTTCATTTTTAAGTGAATTTGGGTGATATAAACTTTTTGTTACCTACTGTATCCTTTACAAAATGACACCTATATAAAAAGTATTTTATCTAAGTTATGGCAAGGGTGGATCTTTTCTTTTAAGTATTTAGCATGAATTTGGATGCTGACACTTCTTAATGGATTTCTTTATCCCTTTCTCTTCCTCCTTTTCTTCAAGGGTATACTGGAAATTAATCTAGGAAGGGGGTGACCTTCATATTTTTTTAAAAATTCTATTTAGAAAAGATTATACTTTGAAATAGGGTTTGATTTATTGCCCGGACTGGATTGAAATTTGCAGATTCCGTCCCAACCTCCTGAATATTAGTGATTACCACTACACTAGACTCATTTGTGTCATTTAAAAAATCTATCTAGTTTTAAAGATTATGCTGTTTTTCTGGTTAGAAATGTTATCGAATCATGTCAGTAGATTTTTAGAGAATTAAAATTCTGATGTTTAAGTAACTTCTGAGCCTAATGTTTGCCTTAGAATTCATTACTGACCAATTTCATTTTGAAAACAAAAGGACATTGCATATATAGGGGTAGGAAAGTAGAAATTCATAGCTTTTAAAAAATATCTTTATAGATATAATATTTTTGCTTTTGAGGATTATTGCTAGATCTGCATTACAGGTTTAATAATAATTTTTAAAATTTAATATATACAGTTTGTATATTAAACTTACTATAAATTAAATTGGTTTGTATATTATGTCTTGTTAATACTAATTTGTATGTTTTCCCATTACCTCAGAGATATTTTTCTACAGATAAATGTACAATATTATAATTGAATAGTTAAAAGTTTTAAACTTTAAACATTCAGTGAGAATTTTTTTGGCAGCTAATAAATGTAGCAGTCATATTAATCATCAGGGTAGATTTTTTTACTGAAAAAATACTAAACACTTAATTATGGGAAGGAAATCTCACAATGTTAGAATTTGGATTATATTTCACATTGAGTTGTTTATTTTTTATGGCTTTGCTCTAATTTAGTGTTTTAATTCTCAGTGTTATCCTTTGTATGCTTTCTGATTTTGATACAACTTCTGAATCATTGTTCTTTGTTTCTTTTATTTAAAAAATTAGGGACTTCCTAAAGATCAAAGTTCACATTTGGCAGGACTTAATGATGAACAACCTCTGTTTTCTGGTGACTCTACCCAATGTCTCCAGGCATCTAGCACTGGTGATCAGAATCAGAATGGACTTCACAAGCCGCCTAGAAATTCAGCACCACAGGGTGATGTTTGCAGTCACCTCTCCTCTCACCTTGCTACCTCAGGTGGACAAGAAGGCATTACCTTTACCAAAGAGAGCAAGCCTTCAGGAAATAGATATTTGGGGTCTGAAACAAACAGGCATGCTGCAACAGCATCTAATAGTTGTGCTGGTATCAAAAGACTTTCTAATCATGTACATCAAGTCACATCAGTTACTATTTCTAATCATAACCATGGAGTTTCTACATCACCAAATTTAATAATTGCAGACAATCCTCAGCTCTCTGCCTTGATAATGGGAGAAACCAGTGACAATATGGGTGGTGGTACCTGTGACAAAGTCAATAATACTTCTCCAAGTGTTCATACAAAGACTCATAACTCTGTTGCCTCTTCACCTTCTTCAGCCATTTCCATAGCAACACCTTCTCCAAAGTCCACTGAGCAGACAAACATACAGAATGTTGCCAGCCTTAAGAATACTCTCAGTGGGTTGCATGCAATTAATGGAGAAGGGCTGGAGAATTCACAGAGCTCTACAAAAATAGACTTGCCTGTATTTAGCCACAAGGCTAGTCCTCAGCTCATACCATCAATGTCTGTGTGCATATATTCTGGTTCACCAGAAGTTCTGAAGGCATGCAGGTAAGTATGGGAAAATTTATTAAAAAGTGAAAATAATTGAGTACTAGTCAGAATACTTGAAATTGGATTTTTTTTCTTTCAAAATAGAAATACAGCTTTTTTCTTTCAAAGTATTGCAAAAGACCATGTAGTTACATATCTAAAATTATTAGTAGTTTTATAAGGAGCTTTAGTAGGCTTGAAAGTTGTGGTTAGACCTTATCAAGTGTGAGAAGTATATTTTTCATAAATAGCTTCATTTTAGTTTAAATCTTCCCTTTTGTTGTACTACTTTTGTACTTCTGTAATATTTTAAGTTCTTGAAATTTACACAGAATATTTGTTTTATTAGGTTAATACTTTCTGGAGTTAGATAAAAATTTAAGTGACAAGACAAATATCCCACATCTGTCCAATCTAAACATTATTTTTAACCTATCTTGACTTTTAATCCAGCTTCTAAATTTCAGATTTGAAAAGACATCTTTTTCTGATGACAATACTGATCTCCTAAAACTGAAAGTTCTGTGTTGCTGTATCTAAAAATTTAGACCCTGACTTAGATTATTTTATTAGAAGGCATCATAAGTTAGTGATAAAATGTTTTAACTGATATATTCATAAGATGCAACTACATTTTGTTATTTTTTATATACATTGGTGCTTATAGTGTAAGAGAATAGTGAAGAACAAGACAATGAATATTAAACTGCAAAAATTATAATTAAAAATTATATGAAATTGGTATCATATTTCTTTGTGCACTAAATAATTTATTCTAATTTTGAGGACCTGTAACCATTCACCTCAGAGCGAAACACATAAAGATTTATTTTTGGCTTAAAAGTGTTAAAAAGATTTTGCTTTATTGGCATGGCAATGCAAAATTGTATACAAGTTGTATAATTCAAGTATACAATTGTATACTTGAACCTACAGATTTCTGTAGGTTCAAGTGTTATTTCAGTAGATCAATGTATCTTTCGTTTGCTGCTGAAAGCTGTATCAGAAAAAGGAGGGGAAGGAGGGAAAAGAAGAGGGAGAAAGGATCAAAATAATTCAAAAACTTTGGATTACATAAACTGGAGATAAAATTATTTTGAACCTTAGCAAAAGGAGTCAGATGGCAAATGACATTAGGTGGGAACCAGTTGTCACTTGATAATGTCATTCCTGGCTTGCAGGAGTCTTAGAAATTCAGAAAAATGGAAGAAAACATCTGCAGTAGAATGTTGTATTACCTGGTTAAGGAATTTCTTGAGGAAGGAATTGTTATTGAACAGTTTATCTAAACAGTATATTTCACTTGTGTATTAAACAATATGGGAAATGTGAAAGCAACTTTAAGTAAGTTACACATGGTTGGATTTCTAACTAAGTAAAATACTAAAAGTTGAAAAGAAGATACCAGAATGGGATAACTGTTAGTCACTCTCACACTCCTCTTTTCTTCAGCTTCATTCCTTTCCCATTTTGAACTTTTGTAGTAAAGTTTCATTCTTTCTCTTGAACAGTTTTAGGGCATTCAGAAGACAGTTTCTGTTGTCTACTGGTCTATCTGTTTGAGTTTAAGTTAGATAGTATCTTTTTTAAGAGGGAAAAAACTTAGGTTTTTTACTTTGTGAAAAAGCATGTATTAGTGCCTTTTTACACTAGCTTTAAATTCCTAGCTTTCTGCTTTGATTCTAACAAGTAGGAGAATCCTTTTATTTCTAACATTTTCGTACATGGAGTTTTTCTAAACATAGAAACATTCCTACATTGTTATTTCAAAAGACATTTCTAATGATGTTAGTTTAATAGATCTTGAAGTAATTTTTACTTATTTTAGGAATTTATAATTTAGCAAATATACTTTTTACTAAAAGAAAAAAAATTTCCATCCTTTAAATGATATTATGTGCCTAAAGAGAATGAATACTGAGGATATATAATTTTTAAAATTATATAATTTGTCAGTTTTGGAATCTTGGTGAATATTACCTATAAATTATGTATAAATGCAGTTTTAATATTATGAAACTATTGAACTGTCTGCATTTAGAAGTTTTGACAAAGATAATTTGGAATATTGTGAAGTGTAAAATTATTTGTGTATAAACTTTTTTTGATCAGCTGTTTTAACTTTAAGAAAATTTAAGGGTGAAATATGTTAGAAAAGTGGAAGTGATTTTTTTTTTTTAAATTGAGGTAGGCAAGTAAATTGTGTACTTGAAAAGAGTAAGAGGAATTTTGCCAGTAATTCATGTCAACCTGAATATAGTTCATTAATTAAATGATAGAAAATCAAAATATTTCCTGAAATTATCAGCTATTCTCTGTCTTCTTTTTTTTAAATTGAATCAATCTGAATATTTTAGAGTGATTATCTTTGGTAAATTCCTAACATGCAATCTGTAACTTTTAGTTTAGATTTTATTGTTGTTTTATTTTCAAAATAAATGTATAGCTGGGATTTTTGGTTTTTTTCTTCTGCTTTTTCTAAAAAAGGAATTTAGGTCAAAATGGCTTGACTAATAGTCACATTTTGTTGGATAAATGTCCACCTCCAAGACCTCCAGCTTCACCATACCCTCCCTTGCCAAAGGAGAAGTTGAATCCACCTACACCTAGTATTTATGTAAGTCTCAATCAATTAAAAAATAAGTCAAATGTTCATCACAACTTATTTGTGTTTAGAACAATGATGTATATTTATGTCCATACAAATAATCTTTAGGAAATAAAAATTTCCTCTCACTGGTTGAATATTTCAGAAATGAGTAGTATTTTCTGAATGATGCTCGATCTTTTTTTGGTAACATTTTATTGGAACACAGCCCTAGCCGTTTAAAGATACTGTCTTTCAGAATACCCTTAAAGTTAACTGATTGTGAAGGGAAAAAAATGTAGTTTATACAATAGAAAGTATTTTCTGTCTTCTGGCAGAGAAGTTTGTTGACCATTGATGTATAAAGAAATATTCTGTGAACAAAACTTTTTAAATCTCTCGCCAAATGTTTACTGATACTTGTTCTAGAGATAGATACTTTTTCCAGTGTGAGCTTTTGGTAAACACATTTCAAGTTCTAATCCTCTGATTTTGTAGTTGGACCTTGAAATTTCATTCAATTTATGTATTTCTGGGTTTTTTTGTTTTGTTTTTTGGGGGGTGGTACTGGGAATTGAACTTGAGTCCTTGTGTTTGCAAGGCAGGCAATTTTGTTTTTATAATAAATTTTTCTGCTTTTAGAAAGACAGCTGAGAATGTGGAAATGATGAGTGATTGTTTAAAAAAAAACATTTAAAATTAATATAAATAGGTCTTTAAAAAATTTAATATGTGCTCAGGCACGGTGCCACATGCCTATAATTCCAGCACTTGCAAGGCTGAGGCTGGAGAATCCCTCGGAATTTGAGTCCAGCCTGCACTAAGTAGTGAGTTCAAGGTCAACTTGAATGACATAGTGAGACCCTGTTTCAAAAGAAAAAAATATTTTTAATGTGAAATTAACGTACTATTTTATGTCTCAGTGACATGGGCATTTGATACAGAAAGTAAGAATGAATTAAATAAGATGTTTATATTTTTATTCTGAAGGATTTGTGCTATGTATCCTTTCTGTTTTCCTTCTAAGGAATAAGTGAACAAAATCCAAGAAGTAAAGATCTAATACTTAAAATGAACTTGTATGTATGAAAAAATTTTGGAAATTAGGCTTTTTATGTTTTCCAGATTTTTATATTAATCCCATCCAGTAAAAATTTGTTGAAGTTTCACTTTATATGGAGTGTTGTAATTGGGTTTGATAGTATATGCCTGTATTCTCAGCACTTGGGAGATTAAGGCAGGAGGACTGCTGAGTTTGGAGCCAGCTTCAACTACAGAACAAGACTGTGTCTTAAGAAACCAAAAAACAAAACAATAAAAGAAGGCTGATACGAACTTGCAAATAAACTTCTCAAGCAAAACTTTGAAGGAATAAATACAAGAAATAAGGTTTTTGGTTTTTTTTTTTTAGTGGGTGGGGTGGTTTGGAGACAGGGTCGCATGTGTAGTTGAGACTGACCTGGAACTCACTGAGTAGTCCAGGCTGGTCTAAAACTCATAGCTTTCCTCTTGTCTCAGCCTCCCAAGTGCTGGGTTTACAGGTGTTTGCCACCATGCAAGAAGTAAGATTTGTCCTTATTAATCCTTTCAAATATTTCATGTTAATTTTAAAAACACTGATTTTAAACTTTTAAGTTACACACCTCCCACCTCTTAAGTAATGAAATTACTCTTGAATAATACACTTGGGAAGTACTTGAATAACTAAAATATTAGTATTTTATATGAATATATAGTGATATAAGTAAATTTTTAATGTATCTAATACAATTTATTTTTAGAAGAGATTGATAGGTAATTTGTATGATTTTTAACCTATTGTCTCCACAGGATTTTGAATGTTCTAATTATAAAATTCTGTAGTAGGTAGCTATATAGTTTTTTTTGGGGGGGTTGGTTTTTTTTGAGACAGGGTCTCATTATGTAATTGAGACTGACCTGGAACTCACTATGCAGCCCAGGCTGGTCTCGAACTCACAGTGATCCTCCTGAATCAGCCTCCCGAGTGCTGGAATTTCAGGTGTGTGCCACCACGCCCCGCTGGTAGCTACACTGTTTTAATAAATAAGACCCATTATAACTTTTTAACTGGCTGATTGATGAGAAAGTGATTGATTTGCTTTATAATGTTTAGTCATTTTCCTGAGACCTAAAAAAAAATTTTAACTTTACAGTTGGAAAATAAACGTGATGCTTTCTTTCCTCCACTGCATCAATTTTGTACAAATCCAAAAAATCCTGTTACAGTAATACGTGGCCTTGCTGGAGCTCTTAAATTAGGTAAGCTTTAGGGGGAAAAAAAGCTGAACTTTGTTTTAATCTTTAAAAATTTTTTACAAGTGCATATTTGGAGTACATCACTTTCACACTCCTCAGTTGGATTTGTACATGTACATAGCACATGTTAATTCCTGTTTTCACTCACTTGCCAAATGACTCTCCCACCCCACCTCTGGATCCCCTTCTCATTTAAGAAGGACCTACTCCCTGCTCCCTGTTATCTATCTTTTCATTCTTTTATGATTTTTAAATTTAGAACATTAGAACTCCATTTTTTCTCAACCTTTTGAAATTATATTTTAATGTTATCTGTGTCCCTCTGTCTTTATCTCTTCCCTCTTTGTAGCTCTTTTTCCTTTATCTCCTCTTTACTACATATGTCTCTTATTAATGCTTTTTAAATTTTCATATTTTAAATAGGTGTTCATATCTTTAAGTACATGTTGCAAAGATCCTGGTTATTGATAACTTCTGTGGAATTTCACTTTAATTTAAAATTTGATGTAGAACATGATGTCTTTAGGTGATATCATAGAAAAAGCTTCAAATATGAGGTACACAGAATACTGCTTATAAACCCCACACATATTCCATTGGCTATATATATCATATTGATCAAATCTGGGACAGCAATTTTGTAATAAATGACTCACATCTATCTGATCAAGAGAAGCTGGAATGCAATACATATGTTTATAAAATATGTTGAAATTACTGAATGCAATTTTATTTATTAATGAAATTTATTTATTTATGAAGATCTTGGACTTTTCTCTACCAAAACTTTGGTAGAAGCTAACAATGAACATATGGTAGAAGTAAGGACACAGTTGTTGCAACCTGCAGATGAAAACTGGGATCCCACTGGAACAAAGAAAATCTGGCGTTATGAAAGTAATAGATCTCTTACCACAATTGCTAAATATGCCCAATACCAGGCCTCCTCCTTTCAGGAATCACTGAGAGTAAGTCTGTTTACCTTCTCTCTGTCCCTTCCCAGGTAATACAACATATTACTTTTATAGGTACCTGTTTGTTATATGCTGTTAGTGTTTTGTGAGTAATTATACTTTATTAAACTTCTAAAAATTTAAGCAGGCTTATAGAAAATAAAACATTGTTGTTAGAGAAATAAAGTTATCAGCTTATTTTTGGAACTTTTAACTACATTTTATAGTGTATCTTCATTACATCCACTGTGAAGAGTTACTATATGCACATAATTTTCTAAAGTCCTTTTTTTTTCACAAACTCCCCTTCTTTTTCCCTATACTTCCTCCTCCCCCTTCTCCTTCCTCTTCCTGTTCCGTCATCCCTTTTCTTTCCTTCCCCTCTCCTTCCCCATACTCCATCACTTGGATTGCTTCATGTGTGTGTGTGTGTGTGTGTGTGTGTTTGATTTATAGTACATGCTGATAACATTGCTCATAGGACTTGGTGTATGTACATATGACTTCACAAACCTCCCTATCCTCTTTTTAAAAATCTCATTTTCCACCCTCTCTCTCCTCCCCATTCATCTCTTAGTTCCTTTTCCATATACCAAAGCTCCATCTTGCTATTTTCTCTTTTATTTTGCCCTTCATTTATAAAATATTGGGGTTCTCATGCAAGAGAAGTAGTGTGATATTTAAGCTTGTGTGTCTGATTTACTTAGTATTATGCCCTCAAGATACGTCTGTTTACAGATGACTCATTTATCATCTTTTATGACAGTAGTACTCCATTGTGTATAGAGTACATATTCTTTTTTTTTTTTTTTTTTTTTTTTTTTTTGAGAGAGGGTCTCACTATATATTTGAGACTGACCTGGCACTCATATGTAGCCCAGAACTCACAGAGATCCTCCTGCCTCAGCCTCCCAAGTGCTGGGATTACAGGCTTGCGCCACCATGCCCAGCTACCACATTTTCTTTATGCATTCATCTGTTGATAGACATTTAACCTGCTTCCAAGATTTAGCTGTTATGAGTGTGCTGCTATAAGCATGGGTGTGCATGAGTACTGCAATATGATAGCTTTTACTCTTTTGAGAAGATACCTAGTAAGAGAAGAGCTGGGTTAAATGAAATTTCTGTTTTGAATTTTGGGGAGACTCCACATTGATTTTCATAGTGGTTATACTAATTTATTTTCCCAGCAATAAAGAAGCTTTACTGGTTTCCCCAGCCTCTTCAACATTTGATGGTATTTAGTTTCTTAAATACAGCTTTTCTTTCTGGAGTGAAATAGAAACTGAGTTGTTTTGATTTGCCTTTCTGGAATGGCCAGAAATGTTGATCACTTTTTTCATGTATTTTTTGGCCATTTGTACCTCTTATTCTGAGAATTGTGTGTTCATTTCACATGTCTGTGTTTTTTTATTAGATTTTTTAATTTAGCAGTCCTTTTTGTGTGTGTGTGTCTTTATATCTTCCAAGTATTTGTCCTTTTTCTAAAGAATAACTGGCTTTTTTTTAAACATTTTCTGTGGGGTGCTCTTTTGTGATTTCCTTTGCTGTGCAAAAGAATCTATTTATTTGTTTGTTTGTTTGTTTTTGTTTTTTGAGAAAGGGTTTCACTATCTTTGAGACTGACCTGGAACTCACTATGTAGCTCAGGCTGGTCTCAAACTCACAGCGATCCTCCTGCGTCAGCCTCCCGAGTGCTGAGATTACCGGTGTGAGCCACCACACCCGGCTGCAAAAGAATTTAATATGATGTGATCTGTATTGAGAAGTCTGCAATAATTGCAATGTTTTTAACTTTGATTTGTTGCTTTATCTGTTATGCACATCTGATACCTTGAGTATTTTCTAATGTGGAGAATTTCTCTTGTTCATGGCTATTAGGGCTTCTTATGCCTCATTTATCTCTATGCTTATTTCTTTCCCTATATTTGGCAGATATTGTCATTATATTTGTGTACTTTTTTTTAATGTCATTTGTAGCTTCTAATTTTTCACTTACTCTAGATATTCTTAGAGTAGTCTTCTTTGTGTCATCTAGTAGCTGTTGGATCCATTTCTGTATTGTGGATTTTAAGATTCCTTTGAGTAGTTGTTCTTTGTGGGATCACTGTCTAGTAGTTCTAATATTCTGTCCTCACACTGGTCACTTCTGCTCCCCATACTTTCAATATACTTTTAATCTCCTGGATTTTTTTTATCAAAACCCTTTGCTGTAAGATAATGATTTTTTGAATGAGCTATTCATGTTTTCTAAAATTTTATTTAGCTTTTTATTAGTTTTGACTAAAAGCTCCTGTATACTGATTATTCCTTTCATTACCTGTTTGTATATCATATGACTCCATTGCATACCTGTCTAGGTTACTTTTCTCAATGTGGAGACAAAAACACCTGATACTCAAAGTTAAAGAAGGAAAGGATATTTAGCTCACACTTTTTAGAGGGTTTATTCCATATTGGGCTAGTGTATGGCAGGGTAGCATGTTAGAGGGACATTTCAAAGGAGAAGTAGAATGAGGCTGCAGAAGTACAAATGTCACAAAATATATGGAGGCTTGAAAAGCAAAAAAATTCTTAAACGTGGTAATGGTTATTAAAATTCCTAATGGGAAATAATGGTTTCCGTAGGTTTTTTAAAATAAGAGATTTTAGATTCTTTTACAAATGAAGCTACTAAATATATTTTTGTAATATTTGTTTGAATTGTTTGTGATTCACATGACCTCAACTTAAATATGCATTTGAAGTGTATCAAATGAAAAGCATCCTGAAATCTTACTCTTACAAAACTATTCTTATTTCTTGTAAATCTTCATAAAATATATTTTTTAAAACTCAAAAGTTCTGTAGCTTAACATCTATAGAAATTGAAAGTTTTGTATTTGTGATTTTTTAATTTCACTGTTCTCCTGAAAGTGTTTAAAATTAGTTTTAATTCAACATTTTACCTCTTTAATATTAGTGTTATATATATTGATGTGAACACTGGATATTTCTATAACTCAAGCAAAAAGTTATGCATAGAAAGCATGTGCTCTACCAGTGAGCTAAATAGTAATTTACTAATATTCAAACTAAAGCTTTGTATATACTTATCTACTGTTAGAATTTTAGTTATTTCTACATTTTAGCTACCAGGAATAATTACTATTGTGAAAACTGTCAGTAAATGTATGTTTTAGGTCCCACTGATTTGATGCCAGAAGTGAAAATTCTGGATCCTATGGAAATTATATGCCTAATTCTTTGAGAACCCCATTGCTTCTGACTGAGACTGCCCTTTTTTATTTTCACTGGCTGTTCGTAAAGTTTAATTAATTCCTATACATTCTTGGCAACCATTTATATTTTGATTTTTAAATAGTATCTATCTAACACATGGGAAACCATCTTGTGGATTTGATGTTCATTTCCTTCATGAATTGTGAAGTTGAGTATCTTTCATGTATTCATTTGCTAACTGTTGGTATACCTTCTTTGGATAAAAGCACATCCTTTATCCATTTTTCAGTTAGGTTGTTTTTTATTTTGTTGTTGAGTTTAGGAGTTATGTATTTTGAATATTCACTCTTTATTACATACATGATTTGCAATTATTTTTTTCATTTTGGGGGTGGTCATTTCATTCTCTTAGAAGTTCCCTTGATATACTTATTTTAAGTTTTTTATAAAGCTCAGTTTATTTAATTTTCCTATTTTCTGTGCTAGTAATGTCTAAGAAATCATTGTCAAATTATAAGTCGCAAACATTTTCCTGCATGTTCTTCCAGTGGTTCTATACTTTCAGCTTTTATGTTGGTGTCTTTTAATCTATTTTTGATGTAATTTTAGTGTATTTTCTAAGATAAGGGAGCAATTTAATATTTTGGCATGTGAATTTCCAATTTTTCTGGCATTTATTGGAAAAACTAACTTTTCTTCTATTGAATTGTGTGGTTCTCTTTTGGAAAAATCATTAGATCATATATACAAAATGCAAAGTTTTATAATTTTGGGTTCTGTATTGTTTTACTACTTTAAATATCTTTTGGTTTTTTGAGACAAGGTCTCACTATGTAGTTCAGGCTGGCCTTGAACTCACTACACAATCCAGGCTGGTCTCAAACTATGGCAATCCTCCTGCCACAGGCTCATAAGTACTGGGATTGTAGCCATATGCCATTACACCTGGTGCTTATCAGAGCCTCAGGCTCATAAGTACTGAGATTGTAGGCATGCACCACCACACTTAGCACATACATGTCAATTTTTATGCCAGTACTGTATTGTGCTCAGTGCACAAATGGAAAGTTAGAAATTTTTTGAAATTATTTTTAACCATCAATTGAAATGATTGTGTTTTAATTTTTCCATTATGTTTTTAATGGCATTAAATTAATTGATCTTCATGTAATACACCATCCTTTCATTTTAGGAGAAAAGCTGATTTAAGTCTTGGCATATAGTCTTTTCTTTAATGTGTTGGTGAATCCAACTTACTAATATTTTTCATTACTGTTTATAAGAAATGTTAGCCTATAATAACTACCTTGTATTTTCTTCAACTAGTTTTTCAAAATAAAGCTGCGTGGCATAGAACTAGTTAATAAGTTGTCCCCGCTCTTCAGTTTTGGGGATAGTATTTGAAACTATTTGTATTAGTTAAAAAGAGACCAATCTTTCCAGTCCCTAGATGGATTATGCAATTCCCTTCATTTCCTCTAGTTTTAGGGAGCAAACTGGAAACTGCTGTGTTGAAAAGGTAGTGAGAAAAGAGCAAGTAAAACACAAGATTTCTTGGTGATTTTCGCATAACTTTCTCTTGGATGTTTGTTGTATTCTTGTAGATATGTTAATATAAATTTTAAAGGGTTAATTCTGGTAGTTAAAAATATTTTTTCCATAGAAAAACAGCGAAAGCTTCTTGCTTTCATTGTCACCATTCTAACTGATGTCACCTTTCTTTATTTCTTTCTATACTCCTTAAATGAAATAACCTACGATTCATCAGTTTTTTTCTGCTCAACAGTGCTTGT